CTGTTTGAATGTACTGTCAGGTGTGAGTGAACGCTCTCTCTGTGATCGATTGATTCGGTCTTGCAACATTTGCATGTGTTCAAACCATAGACTGTATAAAAACATGGACGTAGTGTCCGTGACGTCACCCATAGATTTCCGAAGAGAGTTTTTGAAGCTCAAAAGTGGGCGGATGCGGCCGTCGCCATCTTGGCAGCGTGTCACTCCCGGATAATCGAAGATGGGCAAAGAGGCGGGAGCTGGTTGTTGAAACCACGCCCACCTAGCTCGATGGTGGTGACAGCAGCGGCAATCCACCTGTCACTCAAGTGGCCACGCCCTTAATTATGCAGAACTTTAAGGCTTAATATAATTTAAACGGATGAGTTATAAAAAAATTCCCCCCCCTCACAGTTGTCATGAAGGGCAAGACTCCTTTTGCAGCCAGCCTCTAGCGGCCAGTTGACGAATTACAGTTTAAGTCACTTCCTTGTTGGCTTCACGAGAGAGAGCGGGAGGTTGCCGCTCGGGGGAAACCTTGGCGCGTGATCTTGCTCCCGGCCATATTCGCAGCGGCATCCGAAAAAATTTTGCACATTCAAAGTCTAGTGTGACCGCCCCTTAAGGGTTGAGGTTATTGTGCTTTATCTACAAATACCACAGTAAAACTACAGTTAGGGTGGGAGAAGCATGGTATATTTTGTGGTTACTGTGCATTGACTACACATGACATGGTCGAGCGACAGTTACGTTCAACGCAGGGTTGCCAACTCTCAGGCATTTGGCAAATTGGTAACCCTGCTTGCCATATGAAACAGTCTCAGCTTTCAAATGTTGTAAGTTTTAATACGAAATTTAAACAATAAATACCGTTTTGGCGCACTTAATGTGGCGTAAATCGTAAAATGTAGCGCTTCGGTTAAAGCCAGAGCCATTGAAAAACAGAGTTGCGACAAGCTTTGATCTCGCCGGCGTCGCCTCGCTGTCACGTGGTTCATGGAGCTCTCCAAACAAACCAGTGTTGACAATCCATTTGAATAGACGACAGCTTCACTATACAGGAATTTGCAGCAATGTTTGGTAAACATTACAGCATATTATGCATTGATTATTATGTCGATGACATTTACAGTATCATTTTATTCTGGAGAGTGATGGAGAGGCAATATTAATATGGTTTTCTTGTATTTAACCCTCAGGTATTGATTAGTTAATGTGACCATACCGCTTAACTCTTTTTCAGTTAAATAAATGTTCTTAGTTCAATAATATTTATTTAATATTTTAAGGAGATCTTTTGGTACTAAATACTATTTGTGCAATAATTATGGTCCATTAATGACTTAAAATATTTTTTTGTAGTATTTCTATTTATTATATTACAATTAGTGTAGAATTTAAGGTTAAAATAGAGAAAGGGTTTTAAATTCCAATGCAAAGAGGCAAATTAGAGTCATTTTGTGGTCAGAAAAAAATATCATTTTCATTTGTAATGTCATGGTTAACCCACTATAGGTACCTGTATGGCTCTTTACTAAATTGTATCTAGAATATTGCAGGTCATACTTGCGTACTTATTTTTAAGTTTTTCATTTGAAGAAATATTCAGACATGATTAAACACTAGATTTTTAAATGTGAAATTAAAAAAGTTAATACTTGCATCCTTTTTTTTTATGATACTTATATAAGTATACATAATGAATGCAAGCAAATACTGAATTTAACCCCAAGTTTAAAATGGCATTCAACTGCATTCAACAAAAGATTTTTATCCCCTTTTAAGTACAGTAAATACATATGAATTGATATTGAACCTCATAATTAAATAATTAAAACCTCAGTATATAAGTCTGCAATAGTGCACTGTTCTCTACAGCCTTGTAATTCATTGTTATCTAGAGCTTTTGTTTATATATATATATATATATATATATACATACATACTGGCCTTTTCAGCGCTGTCTTTGCGCTTTATCCATTTTTTATCTATTATTTTTTGCTCGCATATCTCCAACAACTGAGGGTTTTTTTTATTTTAATTTTTTTCTTAGCAAGGTGCCGCAAATGGAAAATAAGGGACAATTGTGATTCTTAAGGGGAGACACTGCAGGCAAAAGCACTGTTTTTTCATGCACCTGTCAATTTTGAGATTTTGGGCTTTTTGGCTTTTCATAAAGTGTTTTTTCAGACTAGTGGAAAGAAAACATCCAAAAGACACTGTTAAGTGTTTCTTTTATAGCACTTTATCTATTTGTGTCAATA